TCAAGCAGAGAGTAAGAGTTCGGATGATGCAACGACAAGCGTAGCTTGCCTGTCCAATCCAGCGGAAGGCGCTCGCCGTTCATGTTCCTATGGATAATAACGTCAGTGCCAACTCTTCTTCCATCAAGTACCAGGCCACCTACGACTGCGCTGGATAAGCAAACAACAATGGTCTCCCCGCAAGAGGACCTTCGAGGGAAGAGTCGTTCGCTCCGGCGAGCCAGTTTTTTGTCTCCTCATTGGATGCGAAACAGTGGCTACGATTGGCCAGCTCTCGGACACCAACCAGACTTGTATGGCTGTTACGATGATAACAGTAATTGAATCCTTCCGCATATCCAGAGAACCCTTCTGTCACCAATTTGATGGCACCGGTGGCATTAGCGGTGAAGACGACATCGAAGTGAACGGGGTCTGCGTTGAACATCTTCAAGACAGCAAGCCGGGTTTGCTCTACCATGACGGCAGTCACACTCGGGTTGGATGAATCAGAATGAGGATTAGCGAGGAGAGTGCTTTGCATCTCTTCGCAGAAGGACTCGAGTAAAGACTTGGGTGCGAGCGTTGTGCCGCCATGATCGAGGTACGTCAGATCTAGGTGCCGTCAGTGACATGTGAAAGATGTATCATATCTGAGCATACCTTCAAGCATTGGGTACTCGATCTTCCGCATTCGACTGATCCGATCATTGTAAGCACGTCGCTCACCTTTTTCGTCCCAGTGCTTATCACCGTTGGCAATCATGGGTCGTGGCCCGGAACGTTGGAAGCACTTCATCTTTTCGCAAAGATGTCAAGCGTGTCAGATATGTGGAGAAGCTTTGAGACCGATCAATGCAGGAGAACAAAGGGATTGACTGTCTCAGATCGGGGTAAGCATGGACTATAACTACACACCCTTCTCCAGGCCGCGAAGACGACCGCATGCGTTTTGTCTGATCATACCCTTTCTCGGCCCCGTTCCCTAATCGCTAGTCTTGCAGATTACACAGGAAGTTACATCAACCTGCAAGAGTGCGGCACGCCTCGACGGGGCGTAAGTTCGACAGAGGTCGATAGTCTGGACACTGGACTCAATGCGCCATGACGAAGGAACATCCCTTGTCGCAAGCGACTCCACTCACTACATCCAATGCAAGGCAATCAATCAACCACATCTACACATATTGGCTCTAGATAGCAGACGGCTGCATCACAGAAATCGGGCATCGTGGTCAGTCTTGCCTAATTCTGACTCTCCGGTCCAGAGTGAGTAAGATCGTTGCGTCTGGATGAGGCGGAGCAAATCAGAACTACACAAATATCTAGAGTCGATCCTATCACAGTCACATATGCTATTGTGGTCTTCATGACTGTGCTTACTGCCCGACGGGCGTAGATTCGATGGTGGTCAGCACAGCCGCTACTTCGCCGCCCAGTAAACCCATTTCCAGTCATCTTAATGGGAAGACATGACGATGATAGTGAAGTATCAAGTACTGGACTCGGAGTTGTAAATGTTCGCTTATGGAAGCGCGCTTCAAATCACATCACATCGACACCGTCTATGACTGGCCATAGGTTCGCCCCTGTTCGTCCGCGGAGTGCAGAATGCATCTTCGCACTGTGATTTGATGCTTTTTCAGATCTTCTCGTTCAGGCACATGCAGTTCGCTGTCAATCAAGTAAGCCCTTCGTCCCCACGACTCGCACACAGCGCCATTATTACAATCGCGCAGCTAGTGCCGAGTACGGCACTCGTGGCACATGCAGTTCGCTTTGAATCGAGCAAGCCCTTGGGCTCACGACTCGAACCCGACGCTATCATCCCAATTGCAGTCAGTCCCGAGTACGGCAGTTGCGAGGTGAAGAGATCGAGCGGCCCGCGGCAACTATCACCGCTCCGCGTAGATTCTCTGTGGCTGCGGAGGGTTGCTCCTTGCGCAAGGGGCTTCTGACGTTTGCAGCGATCTTTGACAACTCACCCTTTGTTCACATGTTTGGATCTCTCTAGTCTTGGGAAGTTACCGAAACCGTTCCAGTTGATGTCATGGAGCCATTCTTGAGAGGATGTAACCGGCGGTGAGAGTTCTCACCCTGATCTTGAGTCTTCGCTGGTGCCTACGCAATTCGGGGTCAAGAAACGGCGTTGTTGAGTTTGGCACACCACATAATCACAAGCAGGGGTTTCACTCCTATCCAAATCACAGCGGCGCAGTCCCCAATATATATACCCAAGGTTACTCGCGAGCACACCTCAGACTCGAGTGCGAAGCCCCCAAAGACAGTGGCGCAGTGAGATTTCCCTTCAAACTTATGGGCCATAAGCAGGCTATCGATCCTTGAAGAACGAACCACCAGCCCGGTCGCATTCGCGTACTGTCCCGTCCAATTACCAAGTGCGATGAGCAATGCCAGCCCACTGGGTCAGCGGTATTGTAAACGCCATTCGCAATAGCTTCCCGTCCCGTTGGGGCCAGCCCCGGCGGCGCGCCTAATGCCGACACACTGACCTCTGACCTCCGGAGCCGTGCATGTACCAACATCGCAAAAATTTGCAAACAGCACCACCTAGTGACGGATACGTAATTCAGACGACACCCTTCTTACGCATCGGCTCCATCCTTTGGAAGGATGATGGTGTCGAGAGATAGGCGTGCATGAGTGGGGCTAGAACTACGCCTCACCTGGGCATCTAGCCGCTCATCCGCTCCAGGGCTATCTCGATGCAGCGCAAAGCCGTTTTTGGTCTTGAGCCATACCTTTTCCTTCCTCTGTTTACTTAGATTGCGGCATAGTCGCGGCATACACCAAGAACGCGGCCCGCACTTTGACCAACTGTTGGGTGTCTTGATTGGTGTTCGTTAAAGCCAGCTGAGAAGAGCGAGACCCCTAGACCAATGTTGGAACAGGTGTTCGTATCGACCGATCAGTTCGGTGGCTTCTGCAGCATAGACAACCCCAGCCGGCGGATGCATCCTACCTAGGCAGCACTCAGAGTTTGTAATATGTCCCTTCTACACATGTCTCGGTAACCGCTGCCGTGCCGGCTAGCTGGATTCGTGGGAACAGGCGATGTCAAGCCGTGCTGAGAACCATTGTGTATCCAGCCCGTCGCGCCGGCCTAGATGACCTTCTTGATCAGTGGGCGACCGTTCGGCGTGAGGGCTGCGCTGAGATGGCATACATATGCACAGTGGCTTAGCATGTCCACACAGTGGCCGGATATTGGCACTCTACAGAGGTATGAATGGCGCTTAGGCAAACACGGCGCTATCCACGCGCGCGAGTTGTTACATAACTCCGTTAGCCCACACCCACTTCGTAGATGCTGCAAAGTTGTTTGGGGGCTGGATGCCATAGCTGTCACAACAGTATCGCACGATTGGCCAGGTATCGATGTAAGCTGGACTAAGCTGTGTGGCTGTCCAGTACCGCTCGGGACGCAAGCATTTGAATATGAGGACGCGTCGAGTGTTGTGAGTCGCTGTTGCATAACCGCCGCATAAAGCTATCACTGAACGCGGACCCGCCCCTCCACATCAAGGTGGCTGAACTCATGTAGGAAGGCTCCAAGATGCCAGTGACATGTGGTGGGGGCGTCGAAGGGGTACCCTTGACCTTGGGGGCAGTTCTCGGTCAGCGGTTGATTGATAAAGGCTGTCTGTCTCTGCTGCAGATTAGAACTTGATGCTGCTTTCGAATTACATACGAACTCCTAATACACGCCGAATGTCAGTGAAGCCTCCAGTGTTCTGGACTCTATTATCTTGCACGTTTATCCTCCCGCCCAATACAGCCTTCCTAGGCTGAATCGGCCCCTCGCTATGGTAAGTCAGCCAAGTGTACCCCTAAAGCAACTTCAAAAGACGGCTTCGCGCTGTCAATGTTGACGAGCGTGATACTGATTGTGCCGACAGTCTGCCTTGCGCTCCGCCACGATATCCAGTCTGTCAGTCCCGTAGCGCGAGTCCGATGACGAAACGAGAGAAGATCAAGCGAGTCCGTGGCCGCTCCAATCACGGCGACACAGCGGAGAGGACAGCATCCCTGACACGTTATACCAAACGATGATGGACAATGGAGGAGTCTACTACGCATCTCCACACTGCTACTGCCGGCGGAATGCTGTAGTAATGCTCAAGCTCAGAGTTCACTGTTGGTCTTCGCTTTTCCCCTGAATGGCTTTGTGGCCCTTTGAGCTGCAGCGCAGCGGGGCTTGTCGGAAGGTGCCAAGGGGAAGGACCTCATATGAAGCCAATCGCAGCGATGCCACACCGCCTGGTAGGACTACCAGCGGAGTTTAGCTGTCGCCGATGCGCGCTCAAGGAATGTTTGCTTGGTTTCAAGAACGGCGGTACGAATTCGCGACGTTGAATTCAGAACAAGGCTCCATTGCAAGAAACGAAACGACCTCGTTGCCGAAAACTGCCGTTCAGCGGTGCCATTAAACAGCAGCGTCGGTGTTGCTGTAGTGGAGCAATCGAAACTCTGTCCGCCCGTGTTTCAGATGCATTCCCTGAGGGACTACCTACCCGTCGCCTCAACGTGGATGTGGTAGTTGCGGCCATCCACGGTCGCATGCCCGGTCGCCTTGATCATCACCACCCACCACCATCATTATATGCTGGCGTGCACCTCATCTCCCCCAGTCTTCACACATCCTACATCCCACATCCCGAGTCCTGGATTCATCGGCTTGGACTAAGAACTAGGGCCGTCGCACGAGGACTCTGCGCAGCAACACCCCAGCTCTTATTACCCCCTGCACGCTAACCGGCGCCAGCGAGACGAGTGTGTGAACATTCCTTCGCCATCCCCATCCATCTCGGATCGTCTGCTTCACCAACTAGACCCAAGCTCTTTTATCTCAACCCTCTTCCGACTTGTCTTTACACGGTCTTTCATCCTCACCCTCACTACCAAAAGCGATTCCTCGAACGGCAAAAACTAGGGGCGTCACTATCCATCCGGAAAGAAAGTAGCTATCCTGTCGCCAACGTCGCTCAAACGCTATCATCATGGACTCTCTGGGTCTCTCGAGCTCCGAAGGTTACGGCAGTTACGTGCACGTTCACCACAGCGATGCCGAAACAAGCGATGAACTCGGCCGAGCAACAAGATCGACGGGTGACGCTGAGCATGAGAACTTTGCGGATGCATCTGGCCAAGACCTAGAGCGTCACTGGCAGGCCTACCAGAACGGTCTGCACGCTGATCAGTTCGGCTCCTCGCAATCCTCGACGTCAGGGTACAGCCTGCAATCCGGAGCTGGTCCACCATACGCTACCAATGGCCAACATACGCACCAAACCCAAGGATTCGAGTGTGTACACGCTTTCGAACCTCCTCAGATATCTGCCATGGATGCTGAGACGAGCGGCAGCGACCATTATTCTCAGTATGCTGCGCCGTCTAGATACGACGGCCAAGGACCGGGGTTCACGCAGCCGCTTTACAACTTCCCCGATGCCGCAGAGCCCTTCCTCACTTACAATTCTTACATGCAAGACAACAACACGATGCTTGCCCCTCGGGGTCCAGTCGCAGGATATCCGGTAGGCTCGCGACCCGCAGAGTACCATCAGGGAGATCGGAAAAGACACTTGGAACAGCAAGTCGATCAGTGGATGGATGTACTCAACACAGCCGGCATCCAGGGTACGACCAACAGTAGCAACCCGGCACACGGCTCAGGTTCAATGTCACTTAACAGCGAGTGGGGAGGGTCTAGCGTGGATACCTTACGCCCTTCTGGTTGTCGACCCGGTAGTCAATCGGCACGCACAAGACATGCCACTGGCCCAGCTAGTCACAACCAACAGGGACAAAGTCAGGGGTGTCTGATGCCGCCCACATATCCGGTACCAAGACAGCAGAGCGCTGAAGGACGTTCCATGCCCAGCCGATCCGCAGTCTACGGTACTTCCTGTCGATTGTGAGTAAGTGCTACCGTTACTGTTGATAGGTGCTAATGAAAGTAGATCGAACCATGACGGCAGCCATCTCCACGTCCCGACGTCCGAAACAACAAGCTCCAGACCGACATCTCCAGGCAGTTCTGCGACATCTGATCCGCTTCACTGCCCCTACTGCTCGGCAACGTTTACAGGAACCTACCGGCAGGGCAATTACGGGCGGCACAGGAGACAAAAGCATGGCGAAGCGAAGCAATGGGTCTGTGAGACCAGCCATTGCAACCGCGCCTTCCAGAGGTCCGATGCCAGGCTCAAGCATTACCGACGTCAGCATCCAGAACTCCTCCCGGGCGGCTCTTAGTTCGGAGACATCAGACTCGCGAAGCGGGCGCCGTCTTTACTGGTGTCTGCGATTCAGGTGAACACGCTCGCCATTGCCAACAGCTTCGTTCACGTGTCTAGACCCTGCCGTATCTCCGGTTGGGCTTCCTGTCCACGTTGCGCGGCGCTCGCTTTCACGTACACGTCTGGGCCGTATCTTCCCTTTTTCAACATCCTCGTTCTTGATATAGCCTTTCCACTTCTCTTGTCTCTGGAAGCATTTCACGCTTATACCCCAGCATGGAGCGGCCGTGGGAAACCACGTATCCTTTCGCCAACCGCTTCCCAAAAATAATCCTTAACGTCTCTTTTGTCATTCATGTTGTCTTTTCTAATACACACGGGCTTCCTGTATTTCGAGTTCGACCGAGAGATGTGTTTAGGGTAATGGGGTGTGATGGTATGATGCGGGTATGATGCGGGTACGATGGTCGGATCATGTATGCAACGGTCGAGACGGCGGTATTGTATCGAGTGTGCCGGCTGTTCAATTTTTTCTAGGCGTTTGGAGTCTAGATACGTCCTGAATGGGTTACGATTGTACGAATAGATGGGCGTTACGGCGATCGAAGTCGAATAGAAGGCTGGGTATAGACGGTCAAGAAAGGTCGATTGTTGTCGCTTCGTTGCAGACACCCCGACGTCGGTATAGCGGTTGACCAGGCATAATGAACACCTTATCTACGATGGCTTCGTGTCGATACGTTTGGTGATGATGTTGACGGCGCATACGAGCGACGAAGGAAGAGACGTGAAGTGGGAATATCTGCAGTTCTGTACTTGGGAACGATCTAGTCCGGGGAAACCACGATACTTCCCCGTCACGCGCTAACGCTGACTAGTGACGGTCCAGGGGAAGCACCGATCGGACGCCTTCGAGCTGGGTCTGCTACACCATCAGTATCGTTAGCTGCATGTCGTGTTCAGCCAATATGTGCTTCTTCTTCTTCTCTCCTCCACGAGCGGTATCGCGCGCCTCAACGTTCCGCCTGCCCACCTGGGCACTCAAGCAGCAACCAGCGATCCATGGACGCGGTACCTACGCAAAGAGAGAAGTGTCGTCACTGGTCAAGACAAAGGGCTTGCGGTCGTGTGAGCTCTGTTCATGCGTCGTGTCTCAGAGTGTGAAGGGTACGAAACTCAAAGGAGATTGATGCTTTATGTAGGAGCGACCGCCGCTGGTAGCTTGGCGAGACCATTTACGAATTCCAACGACAACGTTCGGAATGACTGAACTCAGTTCGCAAACCCAGTAGTACAGACCCTGTTTAAGAGAAGAACATGACCTGTTATTCGCTGCACGATGAAGCACCCGATGCACGATGTTGCAGCTGTGCAATCAACTCTGCGTCAATACGGCCTGAGCATTACATATGATGACCTTGACCTATCACTTTATGTACTGATCGGCTAGCAGCAGATATCTTGGACACGACAGTAGCCACAATAGACCCTCTTTCGCTCAAGATGTGCAAGAACTGACCGCCCACACGATCGGGCATCGATGTCAATTCTGTACTTAGGCGGAGTCTAAGTCCGCCCAATCTGTGTACCATGGACTGTAAACCTACCAAATGCTCTCTTTAATATTCGTCGAAGCAATTGCCCACCTATCAAGTCAACACTCTTCTAAAGTTGCAGGCTGATCGGAGTGGGTTGAGTATGTATGGCTAGGACTCGCCCAATGGGGTCCTATTTGAACAGCGCACATGCTGAATATGCGTGCGCGTACTGTAGCCTGCTTTCAGAAGCGCACGTATCAAGCCTCATAGTCTATCAAATCCTTCATCGAGGCAAACTTCTCAGCTGTCGGCAAGAGCGACACGGATTCTCCTGCTGTGGCGATGTCACACCACGACTCCACTCACTATCTCCATCAATGGCTAGTCGGTGGAGACAGTCGATGTTGCCCAACGATCTCGACGAATGATATCTGACAAGCCCGTTGTGGTTGTAGGTTCCTCGACGATGGCTGAGTTTAGTGGCAGGTTCGTGGTGCCAAGAAGTGATCAGGAGCCGCGGGCTTGCTCAACCCACTCCTGTCCTATTACCATCCACGCGACGATGCCGGCACTGCTGCAAAGCTCAGCCAACGACACGCTCTTGCCATTGGATCCTCTAATGTAATGTTCAAGAGAGACACAGGCATTGTGAAGTTGCCGCTCTGTGTATGTAACGCCATTGATCGCGACCCCCGCGGCTGTACTCATCACATGGACACATTGAGAGCCAAAGGTGCGCATACGACAATTGTACAACATACTAATAAGCTACCTGGCAGTTTCTATCTACGATGCCGAGATAATGCCACATCACGATACCTCGAAGCCCTCAATGTCGCCCTTCGCATCGTATTCGCGGATCATCTGCTCGTACATGGCCATCCCTCCTCCATGAAGCACCCTCCGCATCGCCTGCCGCCGATGCTCGGGGTCGCCACCAGCCATGCGCATCGTGGCGCCTTCATGATTGAAGTAGCCCGGCGTACAGGCTAGCACGACAGAGTACCACAGCGCCCGCCTCTCAACGTCGTCCGTCCACGCATCCTCTGCCTGCTTAGTTGGCTCGATGACCATCTGAGTAGGATCCGAAGCCTTTCGCGCAGCCTCCTTCAATATACTGGCGATATGTGTGGACTCGAGGTCGAAGACCGCGGTGAGGTTGGGCGAGCCTGGCCCACCACCGAGACCGGGATACAGCAAATTGGGGAAGCCGTTTGTAGCGATGCCGTGTATCGTCGCAAAGTCGGCAGAGCCATATTTGTCTTTGAGACGGCGGCCGTTACGGCCTACAATGGGTATGCCGAAGAGTTCGGCAGGGGCTGCGTTCGCACCCGTCGCCAGCAGGAATCCTGTGGCAAGAATGAGCACGTCCAGCTCATACTCGACTCCATTGGCGACGAGGCCTCGTGGTGTGCACCGCTCCACGCCTTTACCATCTGTGTCTACAAGCGTGACGTTGGGCTGGTTGAACGCGGCAAAGTACCCATCCTGGAAGGTTGGTCGTTTGCACCACATGGGATACCACGGCTGTAGCCGCTCTGCCGTGGCTTGGTCCTTCGTGACGCTGTTTCGCACATGCTCTCGTGCCTGTTCTGCCAGTGGCACATCCATCTCGTAGAGCGAGCGTGCGTGCTCTTCTACATTCTGAGGCGTGACGAACCGTGGCCCTCCAATGAAGCCAGCAAAACCGCGCGCATACTGTGTCCAGCCGTCGGCGACAAGGTCTGGGTGGTTCTCTGAATGCTTCTCACCATCGAAGAAGGTGTCGAAGTTGAGCCGGCGAGCGCGTTGCCAGCCAGGTCCCGTTGCCACGTTTTGTGCCCATGTGCTCTCGTCGGTGGTCTGTTGGCGACGGGGTACGCAGTACGATGGTGTGCGCTGGAAGGCATACGTGTGACCGGCCCATTTCGCTACCTGTGGTATTACCTGCACCGCCGTCGCACCCGTGCCAATAACGCCGACACGCTTGCCTTGAAGTTTCGAAAGTGTAGGGTCCGTCGGCGAGCCACCAGTGCAGCTGAAGTCCCATCGCGCGGTGTGGAAGACGGGAATGTTGGCGCGCAACTCTTCGAAGCCGTCGAGCTTAGGCATCCTGGGTTCCGTAAATATGGTACTAGCTGGAACGACAAACTGCGTCAAGATGGTCATCTCCTCGCCATTGCCGTGCTCCCTACGCATGCGGACCACCCAGCGCCGCTTCGTTTCGTCCCAAGTCGCGCCGAGCACCCGTGTTGAGAACTGCCCACGCAGTCCAAAGTGCGATGCCACACGTTCGCAGTGTTGACGGATCTCGTCGCCTGACGCGTACTTGTGTTTAGGCTTGTAGCCTGTTTCCTCGAGGAAAGGCATGTAGATGTAGCTCTCTACATCGCATTGTAAACCTGGGTATCGGTTCCAGTACCATGTCCCACCAAAGCCCCCCGCGACGTCTACCAGGTAGATGCCCTTCGCCGAGAAGCCCGCTTCTACCAATCGTCCTGCAGCTAGCAGACCTGCGTGGCCGGCACCGATGATGAGGAACTGGATGTTGTCGCCGTCCTTGAGTGGACCCGCGTCCTGTTGCTGCCCTTTGTCAACCCATGGGTCATCTGCGAGCGGGGCTTCTGCTTCGCTGTGTAGAGTCGTGTACTGCTGGAAACCATCGGCTCGCAGTCGCTTGTCGCGTTCCTGCGCGTATCGGGCTTGGAGGTTGGCAACGTCGGGTACAGCCATTGGAGTTACTGTTCGTGCCCTCTACAAATGAAAGTTATGCACAAGAAGTTTGAAGTGGGAACGAGCGCTTTGCATCAAAGTACACAGTTTTATGTCAATCGCCAAGTTAAGTGTTTTATTGCACCGGTGCGCTGCAGTTCCAACGCGCTGCTACTTCTTCTTCCGTAGCCGCTCCTTCACCCGAGCCGGCTCGAGCCGATGAAGTATGAAGGGAAAGTAATCTTGCCATGATATCGTGTTCAAGTGGTGTCGGGCCCCGACTTTACGAAAATTATCCGAGTTTCGAGTTGGTGTGGGGACATGGGCTGCATCGACGGTGGATTTTGACGCTATACCCAGGTAGTCCTGTTTGGGGACGAGCCCTCCTCCACGCAATGCCCCACGAAGCTGACCACCCCAATGGTGTCATGGAACCTGATGACGATCTAGATGCCTTTACAGAACCCTGCAGCCTTTGCCTCACGAAGGATCAACATCTTCGGAAGCAAGAAAGGGGCTAGCGTTCGGCCCCAGACAGGAGAATCTCCTCAGGAAAGCCTCCTTACATCCGGATCCATACGTCACGGCGTGTAGGGGCGCTCCGAGAACGAGTAAGAGTTTAGATGTCAGCTCAAGCAGCGTCCGCTTCACAGGTAGGTGAAGCGAATCGTGCAGCAGAGATACGAAGTGTCTTTGGCTACTCTCTGTGCTCCATACTTCCACGATAAATGTACCGATAGACCCGCAAACTCTCCGATAAGCCTTGCAAAACGAGTTGGGTAGGTGGTGTATGGAAAACGCGGCCAATATGATTGGGCAGCACAAGTCAGAGAGCCTGACAGCGTGCAAAAACTCTACAGCTTAAGAACTGCTTTGCTGTCGAGGTGGTGAAACTTCTAGAGGCCACTCGTTCTGAGTCTCGTCTTCTGCATTACTTTCTTTCGAGACCTGCGCATCGTAGTTGAGCTACAAGCAACATGTCGACCCAGCAAACGCAAACTCAGACCCTCGTGGAGACCGCACCTCCCAGACTGACGGTCATCGGGTCACGATCCAAGGATGTCCCACGAAAGACTTCCTTACGCCCATACCTCGAGCTCACGCGGTTCACCAAGCCCGCTGGACTGTTGGGCGCCGCCTTCCCCTACTTCATCGGCTTCCTCTACTCGGTCAACTTACACAACCCAACAGCCCTCGGCCCAGCCGATTGGGCCAAGCTGAGCGGCATCTTCATGCTCGATGTCCTGATCCTCCGTAGCTTCGGCTGTGCCTGGAACGACACAGTCGACCAAGACCTTGACCGGCAAGTCGAGCGCTGCAAGAAGAGGCCGCTCGCCCGCGGTGCCATTACCACGCCAGAAGCGCTCGCCACAACCCTTTTCCTCGTCGCATCGCGCCATGTCCTGATCAACGCTACCTTACCCGCCCGCGCGAGTGAACACGCCGTTTGGATCACCTTCCTCGCCCTCGTCTACCCCTTCATGAAGCGCTTCAGCAACTTCCCACAACTCTGCCTGGGCGGTGGTGTGGGCTGGGCCGTCTACTTGGTCGATGCCGCTGTCGTTGATGGACCATACCCAGCAAGCTCGGCAAACAAGCTCAACGTGGAGGATCGCAGCAAGGCTCTCCTCGCCATGTGGGCCTGCCAGTCCCTTTTCAACATCACCTACGATACTGTCTACGCTTTCCAGGACATCAGAGATGACCTGAACGCAGGGGTGGGATCGCTGGCTATAGCCGTGCGCCACTACCCCAAGGTGTTCCTGCTGTCCATCGCGAGCGCCATGGCTGCCTTCTTGTGGGCAACCGTGACCTGTGGTGGTCTGATGCGTGGCCCATTCATGGCTAGCGCCGCTGTGTCTTCCTTTGCTGCCTTTTTCATGTTGGCTCGGCTCGACGTGTGGAACCCAGCCAGGTGTAAGGACTTCTTCGTCTACAGCCAGTGGTGGGTCAGTGGGGTTCTGGTCACTGGTCTGATCGGCGAGCTGGTGATGGCGAGGATGTAAGTATGCGACGGCTAGCTGCTTGCAGCTCCCGCAATGCGTTCAACACCCACATGAAGAAGTGCTCTCGAAACAGAGACTTCGCGAACATAACGAACTTACGAATCTGGTATTCGATGACATGAAGGATTTCTGGTCAGAATGTGGAAAGGATGAGGTTTCATAACAGGATATGGGCTTTCAAGTGATCGAGAGCTTCTGTATATAGAGAAGAATGTACTTTGATCCAAACGATCGAATTCAAGGGCTCAACAACTTCCATTGGATAGCGTATGATAAGTGATGCGACTTATTGACCAAGCAGCAAAATACTGTCTATCACCGCCGTCCCTAGATACGCATCGCTCCAAGGTACACAACCGCAGTCAGTCACAGAGAGCGTGACAAATGGTCATTGTTGTTGAATGGGGAGGCCACTGTGGGCGCTGAGAGCTGTATGGAGACGGAACAGAGTTAGCGCCTTGGCGTCGGAACGCGCGCCACGGGCCGTCAACGTGGCTGGCGTCTGGCAGGAACGTGGGAAGTACCCATCCTTCCTTCCCAGCGCAACGGGCGTGACACGCGCGATCAAGGATGTACTCGACCTCGGGAGAATGACGACACCTCCCACTATAGCGCCGTTCGGACCGCAAACATGCATCACCCAACGCATACCCTGGCCAGCAACAAGGCCCTCGATCGGACCGCGTCGGACGCGACGAACCATTCGGCGGAATAGTAGTTACGATGTGAGGATTGAGACAAATAATCATGACGTACTCGTTGGAAGTCATCACACTGGGCATTGGGAGAAGGGACGCGATCAACGATGCTTGAAGAACCTCTTGGTTTGAGCAACTACGTATGGGCGCCACAGTCTCTATCTAAAGCTCTGGAATCGGCACAGGTCCAGCGGGCGGCTTACCGCCAGGCAACCAACCTTGGTGCACTGTCCTGACACCCCAACTTGCCGGGTAATCGATCTTTGTGTGGAAGAGACCGTAGTTCTGGAAAAGAAGCAGGTCCTGCTCTTCCTCGGGTCCGACCCAGATGTGCTCAGGCTTGATCATCCGCCCTTGGAAGCTGTCCAAGAACTTCCTCACCTCGCCCAAGTCGTCGATGACCTTTGGCGTGTCGTTCGGGCCCTTGCGAATGAATAACCGGCGGGCGAGGTTGTGCTGGCACTGGAACGACTTCTTGCCGGTGACGGGGTTGACCCATACCAGCGGGAGCTACAACGGTGTTAGCACCAGATCCCTTGAGTCTGTTGTAAAAGTGGACATACCTTCTTCTGCCACTCCTTGCTTCCCTCCTCGTGGGCCTCCACCTCCTCGTCTGGCAACTCCCTGCCCTCGCTCGCTACACCCAGACCATTTGGTGCACCGCGGCAGCCCTTGATCTTCTCGTATGGCCAGTACATGTACTCCACCCAGCTGTGGTCGACCATCTGCTTCTCCTCGTCGCTCAGCGACTCATACAGCTGCTCGACGTCTACAAACGCCGTGCGTCCTGGCTTGACTTCCATGCTCTGACCCGAGCCGTCGGCCCATTCCACCGTCTGCGTCGCCTTGCCCTCTGTAGGGAACTTGATGGGTCGGAGCATGGTGAAGGTCGGGGGATCGTATTTCCAGTAGGTACCGTCCACGTGCCACCAGTGGAAGCGAGTCTTTCCGGCCTCGAAATCTTCGTCTGCAAGCGGCTTGCAGTAGTATTGGTTGAAGTTGGTAGCGCCCATGTTTAGGCCTGGCTTGCCATAGCGCGGGTCGTCTTGGGGGCCTTTGCCAATGAAGACAAAGGCGCCTGCGTCAGGGACTTCGACATAGTTGATCGCTGCCTGATCATCCATCAGCGCTCCGTCGTACTTTGCAGTGGCGGAAGTTCTGTCGCTGGACTTACCACTATACCATCCTTGGGGTAGAACGCGCGAGCGAAGGTGGTGTTGTCTATCTTACAAGAGTCCGGGTCGAGCTTCTGGAGCAGCTCCCAGCCACGCTTCGGTTCCAGGTCATGTTGGCCTTTGATGATGAGAAGCTTGTGCTCCCAGGTGGCTTTCTGCAGCTGTGCTACCGTCTCGTCCGTGAACTTGTTCAGGTCGAGACCAGTGACGACGGCTCCAAACTAAGAGGAAAGATGTGAGCGAATGAAAGCAAGAAGAGCGCTCATGCATGGATTCAACTCGTACCTTGCAAGTCTTTCCCGAAGGATGGACCAATGGCTCAATCTTGAAGTTGCTTGACATGGTGGTAATGGCGAACGATGTGTGTATGAGATGAGTATTGCGCGCACGATATCGCGACTGCAGTTGTACAATGACCAAAAGTATGGGGCGCTTGTTAGCTTACATACAAGCTGCATGTCACTGTACAAAGCCCCATGTCTAGATCGCGAGAGTGTCGCGATTCGCGGACCAATTTGGCAAGTCGGAATCCGGGGTAAACCAAAATCCACCGAATATCGCAGCTCGCGCGCTGCGGTGGTTTGAGTAACGTCGCTTTGCCCTCACATAATCGCCACGGGTTGAGATGGAATACGAGCTAACCTGCCGATGATCGAAAATGCAAGCAACTGTTGCTCATGGTCACTGCCCAGATGGCGTTTGCCGGCGCGCAGTTTCGGAAAGACGTTCCGGCTATCGGAACAGTTTTGGGGAGAGCTTATCGATACGGAAATGTCTTGGCGAAGAAGCACCGAAATTCTCATTAGGCATCCCGGCCTGACCAGCTCCACACCAAGGGGCGACATTGCATACAACCGTTCTCGTGCCAATGAACACCAACCAAAAATCGCTAAAAGATACATTCACAACTTCTCATGCACCGCTGTTCGAGCCCCGACTACCTGAATGCCATCTCCCTGCATGCTGTACGGCACAAACATCTTCCGTTCCAGCCCAACTTCCTTCAAGATACGATCCCACTTAGCCAATGACCTCTCTTGTGCCCCATAATTGGCCATCATCAGCAAATCAAACGATGCGCCGTACCAGTGCGCGCCCTCATCCTGGATGACAAGCTCGTCCAGCAAAATGACTGAGTCAGG